GATTGATGCAGACAATACTCATTCTGGTCAATACTTGTTATCAGATTATCAAGATTACCAAGATCCACAGGTTGAAAAGTATGATATTTTGAAATCCCAATGTAAGAAACAAATGATTGTTGATTTAAAAATGGCCGAAGTGACAATTGTAGTACGCAGATTACACTCAGCAATGATAGTGGGTCTGGTAACCAAGGTAACAAAAGACAACATAGAGATATTTGTGATGAGGATGAAGGTCTACCAAATGCAAGATTATCATCTACTGAAAGTGATGGTAAAGAAGATGGTAAAGAAGATGGTGATGTCATGAGAAAACATTGTAAGGACAAACAGACACCACCCTTGGCTGTGGTGCTTCCTCCAAAATCGCCTGATGACTACAGTCAGTTAACTAATAATGATAACATTCATTTAGCAAAAATGCCAAGTTGGAATAATTCAAAAATAAAATCACAATTACCAAGTCAGCAAGGATATTGTAAAATTTCGGTAGGAGGTGTTGTTATGGCAACAGCCATGCAAGCACCGGTATCTAGAGTACCTAGAACAGTGCATATACTGACTCGTCAGAACCACATTCCTACATGTGTTGGAGAATCAGTCAATGGTGTCCATGGCAACAAAACATTAACATCATGTCAAGTGACTGCAAAACAAGCTGCAGTACAGATACATAACCCATGCAATGTAAGCAAAGTGTCAGTCAATAGAAATCAAGCATCAAACAGTGATGAGGATCTTGGGTACAGCCAAGTGTCGGCCAATAGAAATCAAGCATCAAACAGTGATAGGGATCTTGGGTACAGCCAAGTGTCGGCCAATAGAAATCAAGCATCAAACAGTGATGAGGATCTTGGATACAGCCAAGTGTCGGCCAATAGAAATCAAGCATCAAACAGTGATGGGGATCTTGGGTACAGCCAAGTGTCGACCAATAGAAATCAAGCATCAAACAGTGATGAGGATCTTGGGTACAGCCAAGTGTCAGCCAATAGAAATCAGGCATCAAACAGTGATGAGGATCTTGGATACAGCCAAGTGTCAGCCAATAGAAATCAAGCATCAAACAGTGATGAGGATCTTGGGCAGAGCCAAGTGTCAGCCAATAGAAATCAGGCAACAGATAGTGATGAGAATCTTGGGTACAGCCAAGTGTCGACCAATAGAAATCAGGCATCATACAGTGATGTCCCCATCACAACCAATGACAATGCTGCAATTTGCAATCAAGGTGATAATGGGTATTGTAAAGTTACTCTTAATGGCCATCCAGTGATTCAGGATGATTCTTCTAGCATGTGGAGTGATAGCAGTGAAAGTACTTACCCACCAGACAGCATTGATGGTGAAGAAGTGATACACCAGTCACCATATAGAATGTCTGGTTATGTAGAGCAGCAACCAACAACACAATCCATAAATAATACTGGTGTGAGACAAGAAGCTGCTGGTGATCAATCAACATCACAACACATACATGGTTATGTTGCACATGACACTACTGGTAGTCAGCCAATGAACAGACAACAAACATCACAACCCATAAATATTGGTTATGTTGCACATGACACTACTGGTAGTCAGCCAATGAACAGACAACAAACATCACAACCCATAAATAATGGTTATGTTGCACATGACACTACCGGTAGTCGACCAATGAACAGACAACAAACATCACAACCCATAAATAATGGTTATGTTGCACATGACACTACTGGTAGTTGGCCAATGAACAGACAACAAACATCACAGCCCATAAATAATGGTTATGTTGCACGCGACACTACCGGTAGTCGGCCAATGAACAGACAACAAACATCACAGCCCATAAATAATGGTTATGTTGCACATAATGGCAGTAGCAATAAGTCATTGAACAAATAGCAAACATCACAACCCATAAATAATGGTTATGTTGCACATGATATGTATATGAAGAAGAATAATGAGGGAAATAGTGATGTTGCTATGGAAACATTTACATATGTAACTTCACAAATTTGGATATGTGCATAAGTAGAATTCTCTCTCTCTCTGTCTATATATATATATATATATTGAACTGTAAATCTGGTCACATTGATTAATGTAAATATGATGTATGTATATATTGCTTGTTTACACTTGAACTCCACTGTCTTAATTGTTATGTCATTTACAGTCAATATGTTACTTTGATTTTTTTTCATTTTCAAAATATATATATATATATCGGTAGTCAATTGTTTTTTTGTGTGCAAAATCTTGAACAGTAGTAAGCATGATAATGAAACATTATTATGCAGATTTCAGGGAAAAAAATTGATTCATCATTAATCGTTATTTAAAAAAATGTTGGATTTTTGCATTCTGCAGGATAAGCAAAGATGAGATGTGTGAGCCTAAATGAAATAATGTATTGCACAACAATGGACATGCAGATAATTATATTATTCTGGTTTTGAGTCAGTGAAACACTATATCATCCAGGTTTGGGGGCAATTGAAACATGATTAAATTATTCAGGTTTGGGACCAATGGATCACCATAGGTATCCAGGTTTGGGGGCAATTGAAACATGATTAAATTATTCAGGTTTGGGACCAATGGATCACTATAGGTATCCAGGTTTGTGACTTCTTAGTCTGCTTTGAAAGATAGTAAACAAAATGCACCACTTTGATTTCAGAACTTGAAATAAAGATTTCTAGAAACAAATGTAGGTTTTAGTTCCTCATATAACATTTAAGTTAGATGCACCTAAGCTGCATTGTATTTTAACCTAATATAAATATGGTTTTTATTTTTTTATTTTCTCACCCATAAATAATTTTGGCACTCTCCTAAAAAAAAAAAAAAACATTTTTGGTGAAAAATCAGAAAATAATGTCAAGTGTAAAAAATGTTACCAGATTTAATTTAAAATATCTGTCACTAAGATAAGAACATTGACATTGTGATAAAAATATATTTTTAGTATTTTTTTTTTCGGGTCAAAATATTGAACAATGGTGATGCTGATCTGAAGGGAATCACCAAGCGATAATAATCTGAAACAGTTGAGCAAATGTCTTTGAGTTATTTGAAATTTATTTTCTTGTTGTGCCAAGTAATTAACTAGTCTGCATTATCACCACCCTTGTTCTAGCACACAATTTCAGTGAAGCTATCCATAATGACAAGACGACGGCCGAATATTAAAGTATACGTTCTCTGGAAAAGATGTTTAGTCCAGTGACATATGTGACTATGCAAATCACTTGTGATTATGCAAATCACTTGTTACTATGCAAATGACTTGTTACTATGCAAATGACTTGTGACTATGCAAATCACATGTGACTATGCAAATCACATGTGACTATGCAAAACACATGCATTTTTTCAATTAATGATGTGTTTGTTATTCATTTTTACATTATTGGTAGAATTTAAGTTTTGATGTTATTGAAGCACTTTGAAATAGATAGTACAGTTACAATTTTATTGCTTTCACTAATAAATATGATGAGAAAAACAAAAGAAAATTGTTGTTAATTCTTAAAGATCATATTTTACATGAATACTAACAGACATTTGTTGTGTAATTCAAACTGATCAATTCGTCTGAGCTATTTAGTTTCAAGTAATTTATATTTAGATTATTTTGTTAATATACAGAAGTCAAGTATGTTATTAAAAAAATTCGTAAAAACTTGGAATTTATGTTGTTAAAGTGCGGTGGTTATCATGTGAATAATATAGTAATTTCATGTGAATAAACAATGTATTTTACACGCGTTGCTATGAGTCCCATATCGAACAGGACGCAGCACGACGACTGCCGCCCTTTAAGCCTCAAATAACTTAATTCTCAACGTGTCCATTTCACATATCAAATTGTCTAACTTGATATACTGTCCAGTAATTGCATATCTTAATTGAATATACATTACTGTATGAGAAGCCGTGGATTCCATAAGAACGGTACAATGCAACAAAAGGGAGTACAGTTTCTATTAGAGCATACACATTTGGTGAATTGTTATGGTGGTTGTGATTGGCTGTCATCAAGTATGTGAGAATCTGCATTACGTACGCTGCACATATATCATGCTTACAACAGCCAAGATGTTGTGTTAAAGCGGGGGAGTCGTCACCTACGCATGTGACAGGTGGCCATAACGTGTCATTATTTACAAACTAGCATTTACTCATAAGCCTTTGCGTTCCTAGCGTGTGTTGTTATCATCGCTTGGGACTCATTTCCCATGTGTGCGCAGGTGACGACCCTCTCGCTTTAATATGGTAGCAACAGGATAAGTTCTAAGAAATTATCAATTTTCACTGCTTAGAAAAAAATTACCAAGCAGTGTATTGGGCCCCAGGGTGGCCATACATGCCGCAAACATCTTTCCATCAAGGGTCCAGTGCTTCGTATAAGTCATTACTTTTGATATAAACTTCTTGTTATCGCCCTCACCACTTGGTGTGCAATAACCTGGTTACCTTCCTTAGTTTGTGGATTCCTTGGCGTTCATATAACTGATTGTAACCCATTCATTGAAGAAAACTTTGTAGCATATATACACCACAGTCAGGTAAGACATCTTTATACATGTACATATTACACACAAATTTATAGACCGAAATGAAATCAGTCCTGTCAAACTTTATCAAAAACTTTGGCTTGGTTATGAAGACACTTCTTTGTTCTTTTAAGTTTTAACACATAAATTAGAATGTGTTAGAACAGTCTACATAGATCACTGTGTATTCTCACATGACATGTAGGTGCTGATTGAATTTATAAATATTTATGTTTTAAATTTAAATATACCAAACTTACCTGACATTGGTATACAATGAAAGCCAGAAGGCTGTGGTCGTTATAACCAATTTTATAAAAATTCAATTTTATAAATCAAAATGAATGTCAGAATTTAAATTCACCAATCTAAAACTGATATTGTGACATCACAGTTAGTTCTAATTAATATTAATGATTAGTTTAGCATTATCCAATCAGCATGCCCTTTATTTTGATTAAGTGGGTGGCCACTGTTGGTATGTCACCAAAAGGTATGTGCATGCCCTAGGCATGGAAAATGTTTAGTCCTTGAACCAATCACTATTAAATGTTTGAATTTGAATGACAGCTGATAATCAGTAATTTTTCATAAATACGTATATAAACAAAACTCCAGCTTTGTGCCTTTGACTGTATAATGTGACTTCACACTCATTAGTTTTCTGATGGTTACAAAGCAGTTATAGAAGTAGAGACAAAAAAACACATTAAAACTATTGTTTTCTAATCTATTGGCATTTAAAAGAATTATGAAAACTATTTTTTTTAATTAGATTGTAAACAAGAATTACAGTGAAAACCACCAAGATTTTGTCATTGGAATTACTATTGATGTTAGAAGATTAGATCATCTGATTACCTACATTGTTTCAAAATATTGCAGAATTTGTCTCCAGTACTGTATCTACATATTCACATAAAAATATTGTAAATATGCGGTTTTCACTGTAAGAAAAATGTTAAAAAAAAAACTCACTGTTTCAGATAACAGTGAATGGCCTTCAGGCCAGACTTTTTTTATTCTTTGTTTCTTGAGTTTTTATAAGGCAACTTTTTTGAGGAGGGTGGAAGAAAAATAAAATTATTTTTTTTTTCCATTAGATTTGTGTGATTCTCAAAGAATTGTAAGTGAGATCATTGATCGTTATGCGGCGGGCAGTAAAAAAATGAAGATAAAAATAATATTTTTTTAGCATTTTTTTGCGCTTACAAGTCGGTGGGCTGAAATAAAATTTTATTTTTATTTCATTTTCGGCTTCTGTTCATTCGGCGGGTTCGCGAAACAAGGGATAATAAAAGTCTGGCCTCAGTGAAGAACAAAATATAAAAAAAAGAGGCAAAACGATATTAACCATAGAGGGCGTAACTATCCGGAAGTACAGCAAACCCGTCCGTTCGTTCACAGATAGAGGCTGTGTGCTGTGACCAAGGTATGACCTCGTCTGCAGCAACACTGTGATTGTTAGGCATTTATTCTGTAAACTACGAAGTATAATGGCTGATCTCAAGATATACAAGATAATTACAGACGTAACTC